ATGGTCAGTTATGGGGTATAACTTAAATGTTTGGTCAAACATCAGCTATGGTGCCTAAGTCACAAACAAATTAATAAAAAAAAACTTTCTGGAGATAATAAAACTCTTCGTTTAAAATTACTGAAAATATACGATTGCAAAAAGCAGTTTAGGAAAACCTTGTAAATAATATAACATTTCATTAATGGATTACATGATCACTTGAATATGTATGTTATTATTATTTAAAAAATAATTTTACTTGTTGCCTACTAGCAAAACGTAGCACCTATGTTTGTGAATAATTAAAATTTAAAGCTGTATACCAAACTCAAATCAAACCGTTTTCTTGTAATTTAACACACATATCTCAAAAATCAGCAACGTATACATGCTTATAAATATGTTTACATTCATTATACATATTTTTCATACATTAGTTGCAAAATATAAAAATATATTTAAGATTTTTTGAAATTTTAACTTACAGACTTACTTTAAATAAACTATGTCATATATTTTTTAATAAATTTAAGTATTTCTTCCTAACATTCTTATAAATGAAAATGGAAAAGAGAAAAATAAGAATAATTTTTTCATTCAGTATCATGGAAACATTAAAAAAATATTATGAAAATGTAAATATACAATAAGTTTTTATATCATATTTTGTTTTCCAGTTTTGAAAGGAATCATTGTTTTTTGTTTAGACACAGCAGAAGAAAAAAAATTGAATTAATTCACAACTTATTTATTACAGCTATTTCAGTTAAGCTGAAAGAAAATTCGCGCATTGTAGGCTGGACATAGATCTCAATCTATGTAGCTCCAGTCTTTTTTGTAACGTCAAAGTGTAAATATTACGAAAACAAGGGTCGCATTTAAAAACATGTATACATCTGAAAGTCATGTGATGTTTTAACAACAATATTAATGACCAACGTTCAAATATCTACAGGGTGATTCTTAACAATGGGAAAATCGAAAGCTGAAGATACTAGACGTGTAATGGTGACCATTGGCGCAAACATACCTTATCCGAAAGTTGATAGTTTCGGAAATACATGCAGGGTGTTGAAAGTTAAAATTTTAAATCGTTTTTTTGCGATTATTCTGAAAATATGTAGGTTAGGAACTTGAAAATTTGTGAAACTATGTTTTTTTAGGCGACGAATAATATGCGTGTTGTAATTTCAGCATTGCTCATAGAAGGCGCCACTGACGACCAATTTTACCGAAAATTTAGATAATAACTTTTTACCCTGGATGTCTAACATGAAACTTGATTCAAATCCTGAAAGAGCAATTATTTTCCCATTAATTGTGAATTCTTGTTTTATTTCGGTATCTCGATCCGTTTTCGAGAAAAATCGATTTAACGAACACTATGTTTTGATAATACGAGAAATTAAAAGCGAAACAAACCAAGTGTTTCTTCGTGTTATTACAACAATTAACAATAAAACAAATAAAATACGTAATTATGATTTAAAGTAATTGTTCGAAGAATCCACCGTTGACACTGATACACTTTACACGTTTTCTGAGAGATCTTCGAGTTTGAAACAACATATTGGGATTGCGTCTGACTTCGTTGGCAGCGATTTGTATTCTTTGCCACAACTCTTCACACGAGCCAATAGATTCTTTGTAAACTATATCTTTCATTCGAGACCAAATAGAAAAATCAAGAGGATTGAAGTCCGGACTTCTGGATGGCCAAGCAAAAATGCTTACATGGCCAATCCAGCGATTTGGAAAAACTGCATCTAAATATGCACGCACTGGCCAAGAAAAATGCGGTGGAGCTCCGTCGTGCATGAACCACATGTCTCTTCTTAAATAAAGTGGAACTTCTTCAAGCCGTGGAAGCATTTTTACTTGGCCACCCAGAAGTCCGGACTTCAATCCTCTTCATTTTTCTATTTGGAAGAATCTATTGGTTCGTGTGAAGAGTTGTGGCAAAGAATACAAATCGCTGCCAACGAAGTCAAACGCAATCCCAATATGTTGTTTCAAACTCGAAGATCTCTCAGAAAACGTTGTGTAAAGTGTGTAAATGTCAACGGTGGATTCTTCGAACACTGACTTTAAATCATTATTACGAATTTCATTTGTTTTATTGTTAATTGTTGTAATAACACGAAGAAACACTTGGTTTGTTTCGCTTTTAATTTCTCGTATTATCAAAACATAGTGTTCGTTAAATCGATTTTTCTCGAAAACGGATCGAGATACCGAAATGAAACAAGAATACACAATTAATGGAAAAATGATTGCTCTTTCAGGTTTTGAATCAAGTTTCATGTTAGACATACAGGGTAAAAAGTTATTAACTAAATTTTCGGTAAAATTGGTCGTCAGTGGCGCCCTCTATGAGCAATGCTGAAATTACAACACGCATCTTATTCGACGCCTAAAAAAACATAGTTTCACAAATTTTCAAGTTCCTAACCTACATATTTTCAGAATAATCGCAAAAAAACGATTTAAAATTTTAACTTTCAACACCCTGTATTTCCGAAACTATCAACTTTCGGATAAGCTATGTTTGCGCCAATGGTCACCATTTCACGTGTAGTATCTTCAGATTTCGACTTTCCCATTGTTAATGAATCACCCTGTATAATAATAATATAAATGATTTTGAAAATGTTATAAAAAGTGCTTACATCTCACAACTTCATTTATTATATGATTACCGGTTTGACACAAGTATTTGGGTTTTCAAAATGCTTAAAATCTGGAACAGAATATTCTCATTACATTCCTGATCGTGAGCTTTCTAGATTTCGTGTTTGCATAGATACTAACTGCCAAAGTGGTATCAAACGATTCAGTATCTCCAAGAGTGAAAGAATACTTACATGGAGAAGAGTCATTAATTTAAGAATTCTCAGAGCAGACTTTATTTGGCGATTAGACTTACATTCCGTTAATTTCAACATCATTATGACCAAGATGTAGAAAATTGATGATGAATGTGGTAAAAATGAAACAAATAAATTTTGTTGACATAGGAAATACTTTAATAAAGTAGTAAATAAGTACATATATAAGAAAAATTAATAAGAACCAATTCATAATCTCTTCTAACACAGTGTCTCTGTCGTAATTGAAAAGAAATAGTTAAATATGTACTTTAGTTTTAGAAAGTAAAAGATATCGAAAATTATATTTTTATATCTCCTAAATATTTAAATATGCTAAAAACAACTTCAATTATATAGAAAAATTATAAAATAAATATCAGTACAAGGGGAAAATGAAATATACCTTTAAAATAATAATTTGTTTTTAGATTATGATGCTTTATCATATTTAGAAGTGGTACCAGTATTTATTATTATTTTTAATAACATGTACCAAGGTGGTACCTACAATTAAAAAATATAGACCTTGTAAGGTTTACGTTAAAGTAAAAGTAAATATTCAACATTAAAAGTTTGATATTTTACTTTTAACTCTTTCAGTCTCAGTGGTGCATAAAATGTACCACCGTTTTTTATTCCTCCAGGTCTTGGTGGTACATATTTTGTACCAGAATTTTTTATGTACTTACATTTAAAAATTATTTAACAATCATTTCCCTTCAGCCATAGTTTTACAGACCCTGTACCACCCCCCCCCAGGAGTCTGTGAGCTAACACACGGTCACAAAATCAGCTGTAATGTATTTAGTTTTAAGTATTCTTTACAATAAAATCATTATAATTCACAAAAGCTATAGTTTAATTTTTTGTGACGCTTGAGTAAAAAAAGTAATATAATTTCTGTGCCTGAAAGAGTTAATAGGTAGAAAATTTTTAGTAAATACATATTGAATAAATATATCAAAATTTTATTTACAAGTATCTACCATGATTTTTAATACTATCCTATTAGGTAACTTTTTTATACCTAATTATTACTTATTTTTAAATTAAAAATGTTATAATGAATATTTTTATATATTGAGACGTTTTTTGAAAATCCACACGAAATGAAAGGAACAAAATTATAATATTAAGAAAGAGAAATCTCAATTAGAGTCTGAAAAAGAAGTATGTATACAATGAAAATGCAAATAAAAATAAAATAGTTGTATAATTGAACCATGAAAAAACATGATTAAACCTAAATTTGACTAAAATATCAATTATAATATAGTAAATTTCATAATATAGAACATTAAGAACTGAAATATCATATCTAAAATAGAAGCAAAACCAAGAAAGTAGCATATCAATTTAAAATAGATAAAATAGATAAAATAAGTTATAGTTAAAGACACATCAATAGAGAATACGAGAAAAGAGAAATGAAAAATCTTTATTTAAAATTCACATAGTATTAAATTTCAGAAACTATCATGTCAAGGTGACAGTAGTTGTCAAAGTTAAAGGCAAATCTACATGACATGAGACAAAACCCGGATTTAGAAAAAACAGAAATAAATGATAGTAACAGTTAAAAGAAAAATAAAGGAACATTATTGTTAGTTTAAGAAAGTTTGTAAATAGAAAGTAAGAATTAGATAAGAAGTGAGTGGAAGAAAAAGAAATACAAAGTGAAAGAGAATGAGTGAAAGTGATATAAGGACTATTCATGTGGACGGACCTTAAAAAGAACTTCATAGGGAAAAGCAGCCCATGTGAACAAGAAAAAAGGCCGGTTACCATGAGAGCAGTCAACAAATAAGATCCTGGGAGACTCCATGAAAATTTGTGAAAAAGTTAGAAAAAAGGAGATTATTAAAGAATATTAAACAAGAATACAACTGAAAAGACATACCTGAAGTCCAATGTCCAAAAGGCATCGTGGGAAAGGAAAAGCTACGATTCATCCCAAGTGGAAAGAATTCCAGGCCAGAACTCCACCCACACCCTAACAGAACGGAGGGAATACCCACAAAAAACCAGGACATAAGTGCAAAATAAAAAAAAAGGTTCATTTAAACATCACCTAAGGTAATATGAATTCATATTTTCAAAGTGAAATACAAATAAATCAGATCTGAAAGACTTAAAGAAAGTACTTACCATATAGAGAGCTCATAAATCATTCCACTCATAAATAGACTTAAAATCGTTTTAATTTAAGCATTTAGAATAAAAGTAAAGTTTGTACTGATTTTCTTAGGTTAAGATTTTTCAGCAGATAATACAGGAAAATATTCCTTTTTTTTTCGAGCATAGATTTGTAATGAGCGAAAGGGAGGCCATCTATGTTGTAGAGGCGTAAGGTAAACAAAAAAGTTTAATTTGAAAAAGTATTTCTGTTAAAGATTTGAAATTTTGTATGTCAGCAACCAGGATTACATCTCTACGATAATAGTAGGTTTTCAAATAATTAAAATTTATAGATAAAAAGAAATTTAGGTAACTGTGACTATCATTTAATATAAAAAGAAAGGGGAAAGGTTTTTTCATTTAAATGTGCTTATATTTGAAATAATTAAATGTTTTTAAATCTCAATTTGCATAAAAATAAATGTTAAATAATTGGGTGCAACTGTTTTTTTTTCTGGGAGTTTGAACCGACACTTAAAGAGAAAGAGAAACTTGTGCCCACCCTGAGAATTAGCCGAGGTAGTAAAGTAAAATGAAAAGTAAGTATAACAAATTCGAGTCAAAAGTAGCAAACCAAAATTAAAATCAAAATTTCACATTTTTCCAAATTAACAGCATATAACAATATATTTGCTTCTTCTTGTTCATAACATAAATATTTATCATATTAAGTTACATGACTGAACATTAGTGAAAAAATCTAGACTGCTATAGTCCATATTCTTGTAAAATTTCATTAATTTTTCATATTAAAGTTTGCTTTATGTCGGCACTAATAGCATTCTGATTCTAAATCATCATAAAATTCAATTGTTTAAGAATTATACAGCAAATGAGTGTATTGCCACATAGGGACCGTAGAATAATCTGTTTATGGGAACCAATTTACACGTAGAATGCTTCTAGTAGTATAATAAATAATAATTCCTGAAAATCCTTGGAGTGGTAATTAAGTGAAGAAGAGCCGGAAAGGAAACGAAAATAGAAAAGACGAAGATCTTTAGACGTCAAAGAAGTTACAAAAAAAAGTTCGATAAATAAAAAATGTCGAAGGAACGGCTGAATTATCAAAAGTTCCAATGAAAACCGTATAGAAAATTGTAAATAGTCCCATTACGGGAAGGAAAACTGGGAAAAATCCTGAAACTTACAAAAAAATAAATGAGAGCGCTCAAGAATATCCGGCTAAATGTTTGAAGAGCACACCAACACTGAATAATTTACTTAGAGGACTTAAAGGCTATAAACACACATTGTCATGAAATCAAAATAACATAAAGAACAGCGATTTAAATATTTGACAATTCGTATGGAAGTGAGAACAGATCTACTATGTTCATAAATGGTTTAATACCCATAATCTTTAAAGGAAAAGTGGATAGTGTAAAACAAAAGGACCGTGATCCGAAGATAATTCCGAAGTAGAATGCCTGATGCGCGCGCATTCATAGGCAGCTAAAAATTTAAAGATTGATTTTTCAGTAAATTAGTTCTCAATATTTTTTAAAACACTGTGATTGTCATATAGGTAAGTACTACAACATATGTCAGTAGACAAATAATTTAACATCATTGTTCAAACTATTCGGAAACGACTATACAGGGTGTACCAGTGTCAGCGTACAAAAATTTACCAGGTCGTAGACCAGACCAAAATAAGGTTAAAATTCTTATAAAATATTTTTTCTACAAAACTGTTAAAAGTGGGCTTTTTAATTGTCATTTTTGATGATAAAAATGTCATTTTTTGACACGCGTGTTAAAAGTAAGTTACATTTAACACTAGTGTTAAACTAGTGTTAAATAACTAGGAAATCCAAAAGTTATGAAGACAGAACCTTCAGGACAAGTTGGCCTAGACCGCCCCTGGTGTCAAATCGACTTCACCCAAAAATTACTTCATTCTCTGAAAGGATTTTTGAGTTATTCCGGAAAGTTATTATTATTTTTTTCTAAACAACACCCTGTAACTTAGTCAGAGTACATTACAGAAAAATATTTTATAAGAATTCTAATCTTATTTTGGTCTGGTCTACCCCCTGGCAAATTTTTGTACGCTGACACTGGGACACCCTGTCCTGTATACGAACAAGTTACTGATGAACTTAAATTAAACATGAAAAATAGTACTTCCACAATAGTTTTGTTAACAAAAAGAGACACACAGTGCTAAGGCTTCTGCCGTATCACTATACGAGTATATTCAGCTCCTTAGAACACATATGGTATCAATTAAAATCTGGCGCTGGATATATGTATTAATACTCGTTCTAACTGTTAGTGCACCGTATCTTATTCTTACAATTAGTGAAATAAGCAAAAATTGCATTTTCGATATTAAAACATTCGTAAATTGATGTAGGTGACGAAACTGATTATGAAACAGAATTAAATGGATAAACTATTATACTTATTAATCAAGACTATTTATCAAAAAATGATTGTAATGTATAAAAATGTATTGTTATGTATTTTTAATGTATTAATTGTGTACTTTTGTAATTATCCTTAAAATCCTTTTAATTTCACACGCGATACATCTACAAACTTTGTGTCAATTCGAAATGTGCTCTCGATTTTGCTTGGAGCTAAATAGAAATAAATTACTGAAATACAATGTAGGTGGCCAATCCCTTAAAGCTTTGACGCTCATGAAAATTTGAAATTAATTATTTAAGACATTCATTCAGACAATTCAAAGTTCTTATAGGACTTTAGGTTATGTATATAGGTATAAATTTCAAGATTTATTGGAAACTTAAGTACTGTTTGTATGAGCATATGAAATTTAGTATTTCCTTAAAAAATTGTAAGACAAAACATTTATTGATAGGCGTGACCGTATTTTATTAAAAAATTGATGAAGATTGATGGCTCTGTTTTCGTCAAAACGATGAACGGCAAAAATATGCCGGATGCAATTTTAAGGAATTTCCACTGTTCTGAGCATTTTAAGGGACGAGGTGGTCGTCGCTGAACATTTGCAGCAGAGTTCATGACCCTTGGGGTTTACCGACAGGTTTCGTGTTCTTAATTGCCTGTCACCGGAGGGTGGCTTGAATGCTATATTTTACTCGAAATTAACGGGGAGCTGCCGATGTCAGTATTGAAACCGGGCGCAGCATATAAAAGAGATCCCAAAGTACTCGCGAAGCGAAAGAATGCAGATTAAAAGTTTCAGGCAGATGGATTATATTAATTTTTGGGCTTACACTTCCAATATTTAATATCTAGTGTCATATTATAAGAGATTTTTCATTTCGTAATTTAGGAGAAGTTATTGCAGGATAAGTCAGTATTATTCACTCAAAGTTCTGAAGTATCAAGGTGAAAAGTAATGAAATAGGGAAGAAAATTTATCAAGTGAAGTCAATTCGAAGGTTTATAAACAATTAGGAATAAGCCTTTCTCGTTATTATTTTTTTTTTTATAAATTTCGCGAATCAAAATATTCCCAATATTAAGGTTTTCCAATATTTCAAACCACTACAAATTCTTGGAGTCAAAATAAGACGATTAAAACTCTCTATTCAAAATCATTTAGACGCTAGAGGGTTAAATAAAATGAAATGTGATATATCTACTATAGATGTCACGTTTCAATTTTCTAATCGGAGTAACTGCATGTACAGGAATAAATAAATACCCTCACGCTTAAATGAACAATCCAATTTTTTGGATGTTAAAGTTTTCCTAAATAGTACGGACAAATGCTGACCTGTATAACTTGTAACTGCTTTAAGTGCCAAAAACTTGAAAGGGAACATCATGTAATTACTGAAATTGACTTGTTTATGATTTCAAAAACAAAATTACACAAAGTTATTGTTTAATTATAACTTGATTTTTAGGAAAGCTCCTCGTTTCGGAAAAAAAAAATATCCGACAATATTTTGATGTTAATTTATCCATCATAAGATGCTCTGGATATTAAAAATTTGTCTTCTTAATTTCAGATTAAGTCAATTTTAGTTTACTATGTTCTATATAATTTTATATTTTAGTTTACTTATCTTCTATACAAATAAAAATTTTTGTAAATTTATAACCGTTATTTTTACATTTCTTTAGAGCAAAACTTTAAGAAAAAATTATTTTTACCCTTATAAAAATAAGAGATGCAACCCCTGGGGGTCCAAATGCTGTAGTAAATAATCTCCAATTGGTTTCAAAACAAACTGTTTAAGGGGTGAACTTTAGGGGTGATTTTTCATCAACTTGTGTATATGTCATGGGAAATATTCTTTTATTTTATCACTGAAAATTTATAAATTTTCATAAAACGACGAAAAACTCATTCGACAATGTCCGCTGCTATATGGGTACACCCAGTGGGGTAGCTTATCCCCCAAAGTGCAATAACTACTATATTTGTGCTTTTATTAATATACACCAACAATTTACTATTAATTCATGTAAATACCTACATTTACTTTAGTTTTATATATACAAATAATTTTTCAAAGAAAATGTAAGTGTACTAATAAAGGGTAGTTTGTCCTCCTAAAACGTACTGTTGAAATGTTAATGCTGAAATAGGTGAACTTTAAAATTTGATTTTCTTTAGAATAAAGTAATTTTTGTAAATATTTGATTTTCTTTACAATTTTTACAGAGAAAAAGAATAATTTCAAAATACTGTACATAATATAGACGACTGATAAAAAACAAACTAATTAGTTTAAAAAAAAAATTATAGAAACAGAGATTTCTTCAAAACACTATTGAGGGTTAACTTTAAAGAAAGTATATGTGTTTTGTCCCCTACAACATAGCGAAGTTTCATTGAAATCGATGACTGACACTTCGGGTACCTTCCTTGTTAGTGTTTTTCCTTTGCTGAATGTTTTGGTTTAGTAAGTTTGGTTTTTACTGGCGTAATAAGTCAAATTGCTCCATCACAAAATTCTTAATCTACTCAACTGTATTGAGAAGTTTTATTGATTAAGCTTAAGTTTAAGATTTTATAAAAATTCAAATATGTCCTTTAGCCGTGTTGTTTGTTTATTTTCTGCCTATGTATTGAAATGGCCATCCCAAATCGCCGCACCTATATTCCGTCTAGCCGAATTCGTTC